TGTGTGGTTGTGTGCGTGTGTTTGTATTTATGTGTTAGTGTGTATGTGTGTGTGTGTATGTGTGTGTGTGTTTGTGTTATTAAGTTCATCGACACAAAGGCCCCGGGAACTGCTGTCCGATTGAGACGGCGTGGTGAGAGAGAGAGGGCGGCTCAGAAAGACTTTGACTTCTAAATAAATTTCATTGCTGCCAGAGCAACAACAGCACTGGAGGCGATTCCGATAGGAAAAACACAAAGTCACCAGCAGCAAATAACACAATAAACAACACGGGTGCTGTGGTGAGAAATGCGCCGTGCACAACACGAAATAAAAGCCACGTGGTGATGGTGGTGGTCATCGCGCACGCCACGGTGACGAGCGAGCGCTTCAGAAGGTGAACACCACGAGGTGCCGTCCACGCTGCTGCAGAGAGGGGCTTGTCCGGCTCCCCAGCGTTCGAAGAAGACGCGCTGCACATCACCGACACGTGTGTGTGGTACATGGCGTGCTCCAGCCTGAGCCGCGCCTTGAGCAGAGAGAGACAGAGACACAGAGAGAAAGACAGAGACACACAGAGAGAGACAGAGACACAGAGAGAGACAGAGATACACCGAGAGAGACAGAGACACAGAGAGAGACAGAGACACAGAGAGAGAGACAGAGACACACAGAGAAAGACAGAGACACAGAGAGAGAGACAGAGATACACCGAGAGAGACAGAGACACAGAGAGAAAGACAGAGACACACAGAGAGAGACAGAGACACAGAGAGAAAGACAGAGACACACAGAGAGAGACAGAGACACAGAGAGAGACAGAGATACACCGAGAGAGACAGAGACACACAGAGAGAGACAGAGACACAGAGAGAGAGAGACAGAGACACAGAGAGAGACAGAGACACACAGAAGAAGACGCGCTGCACATCACCGACACGTGTGTGGTACGTGGCGTGCTCCAGCCGGAGCCGCGCCTTGAGCAGAGAGAGACAGAGACACACAGAGAGAGAGACAGAGACACACAGAGAGAGACAGAGACACAGAGAGAGACAGAGACACACAGAGAGAGACAGAGACACAGAGAGAGACAGAGACACAGAGAGAGACAGACAGAGACACAGAGAGAGAGAGACACACATAGAAAGAGACAGAGACACAGAGAGAGAGAGAGACAGAGACACAGAGAGAGAGAGAGAGACAGACACACAGAAGAAGACGCGCTGCACATCACCGCCACGTGTGTGGTACATGGCGTGCTCCAGCCGGAGCCGCGCCTTGAGCAGGCCCCTGAACACTGGAAGCTCCACAGAGCAGCCGTCAGTGTCACCTTGCAGCATCTTCTTCCTCGTTCTGTACACCGCCAACTTCGCCTGAGCACAGGCGAAGTTGGCGAGGTCATGGCGCTTGTTAGCCAGGTAAGGCACCACCCCATGTACGAAGCTGCTGTTGTTGTAGAAGGGCACCTCCAGTTTCCTGAAGATGTCCCCCAAAAGTCAGAACATTGGTTTGAGCCGCTGGCAGCGTCATTAAGAAAGAGGACGACTCGGATGGAGAAGGGACGACTCAGAGAGAGAGGACAACTCGGAGAGAGAGAATGACTGAGAGAGAGGACGACTTAGAGAGAGAGAGAGGACAACTCAGAGAGAGAGAATGACTGAGAGAGAGAGGACGACTCAGAGAGAGAGGACGACTCATAGAGAGAGAGAGAGGACGACTTAGAGAGAGAGGACGACTTAGAGAGAGATAGAGGACAACTCAGAGAGAGAGAATGACTGAGAGAGAGAGGACGACTCAGAGAGAGAGGACGACTCATAGAGAGAGTGAGAGAGGACGACTTAGAGAGAGAGGACGACTTAGAGAGAGAGAGGACGACTCAGAGAGAGAGGACGACTGAGAGAGAGAGGACGACTCAGAGAGAGAGGATGGCTAGGAGGGAGAAGGGACGACTCTGAGATAGATAGAGGACGACTTAGAGAGAGAGGACAACTCAGAGAGAGAGAGAGAGGATGACTAGGAGAGAGAGAGGACGACTGAGAGAGAGAGGATGGCTAGGAGGGAGATGGGACGACTCAGAGAGAGAGAGGACGTTTCGGAGAGAGTGGATGATTCAGAGAGAGAGAATAAAAGGACGAGTCGGAGAGAGAAAGAGAGCGACTCATCTCACGCTCGTTGTTGTGAGCGTCACTCTTCAGCCCTCCTCCTCCACAGAGGTCGACCTTGACAGCGCTGGTACCAGCACCATCATCGCAACCACCGCCCGTCACGACCGCATGCACCACCACGTCCATCGTCGTCGTAGCCATCGCGACCGCATGCACCACCACGTCCATCGTCATCGTAGTCATCGCGACCGCATGCACCACCACGTGCATCGTCGTCGTAGCCATCACGACCGCATACACCACCACGTGCATCGTCGTCGTAGCCATCGCGACCGCATGCACCACCACGTGCATCGTCGTCGTAGCCATCGCGACCGCATGCACCACCACGTGCATCGTCGTCGTAGCCATCGCGACCGCATGCACCACCACGTGCATCGTCGTCGTAGCCATCGCGACCGCATGCACCACCACGTGCATCGTCGTTGTAGCCATCGCGACCGCATGCACCACCACGTGCATCGTCGTCGTAGCCATCGCGACCGCATGCACCACGGCGTCCATCGTCGTCGTAGCCATCGCGACCGCATGCACCACCACGTGCATCGTCGTCGTAGCCATCGCGACCGCATGCACCACCACGTGCATCGTCGTCGTAGCCACCGCGACCGCATGCACCACCACGTGCATCGTCGTCGTAGCCATCGCGACCGCATGCACCACCACGTGCATCGTCGTCGTAGCCACCGCGACCGCATGCACCACCGCGTGCATCGTCGTCGTAGCCATCGCGACCGCATGCACCACCGCGTGCATCGTCGTCGTAGCCACCGCGACCGCATGCACCACCGCGTGCATCGTCGTCGTAGCCATCGCGACCGCATGCACCACCACGTGCATCGTCGTCGTAGCCATCGCGACCGCATGCACCACCGCGTGCATCGTCGTCGTAGCCACCGCGACCGCATGCACCACCACGTGCATCGTCGTCGTAGCCATCGCGACCGCATGCACCACCACGTGCATCGTCGTCGTAGCCACCGCGACCGCATGCACCACCGCGTGCATCGTCGTCGTAGCCATCGCGACCGCATGCACCACCACGTGCATCGTCGTCGTAGCCATCGCGAATGCCCCCTGGGGAAGACTGCAGCGTAGCTGTGCAGGAAGACCCGGGGAATTTGTGCGTTGACCACCCCAGGGGTCGATCCCCGTGACCACAACCCTCGGGGTCATTGGCGGTTTCTTCATTAGGGCGATTGGGCGACGCACCACCAATGTCATTCAACCACAGAGTCACGCTAGCCGTCACTGTCAGCCTATGGATATAGTCCAATCAGAGTCATGTCACGTTCTGTGGAGTACCGCCTCTTTTTGGGCGATTTCACTCCGCCTGAGAATCGCCGCGAGTGGCCCCATAGACTTACATTCAAAGATGTTTTTTTTCGAACGGGGGCGCTCCAATGAATTCTCTATGGCTTCCGGGAGGGCATGCACTAACGTGCTTACGTCATCATACGTGCTAACGTCATCATACGTAAGCACGTTTCATCCAACAACATAATTTATCGTCACCTAGTGGAATCTTTAATAAAATAAACTTGAGTGGTTTGTTTTAATAGTGAGTATATAAACAAACAAGATGTATTGTAAGAGTCACTTTATTTTTCATTAATATTAAAGAAGTGAAGTTGCCTTTACATGCTTAAGCTGTTAATTTATTCATTGCATGGGTGGACCTTATCCTTATCAATCATCCAGACATTTGCCCCCCCTGAGAGATTTTGCAGGAGCCGCCACTGCTCGGGGTTCCAGAAAGCTTCTCGGTGGGCGCCGTGGCGGACGGAGTCTCCGGCTGGTGCAGACGCAGACGACGCGGCGGCGTGACGTGTCCCGGCCTCGATCGTTCAACCCTCACCGCGCGACGCGCCGCTGGGGATCAACGTCGCATGGACATTGAGCAGCAACGCTACTCATAGACTCAGCACTGAGACCCATAGACTCAGCACTGAGACCAATAGACTCAGCACTGCTACCCATAGACTCAGCACTGCTACCCATAGACTCAGCACTGCTACCCATAGACTCAGCACTGCTACCCATAGACTCAGCACTGAGACCCATAGACTCAACACCGCTACCCATAGACTCAGCACTGCTACCCATAGACTCAGCACTGCTACCCATAGACTCAGCACTGACATAGACTCAACACTGTCACCCATAGACTCAGCACTGCTACCCATAGACTCAGCACTGTCATAGAGTCAACACTGCTACCCATAGACTCAGCACTGCTACCCATAGACTCAGCACTGTCATAGACTCAACACTGTCACCCATAGACTCAGCACTGCTACCCATAGACTCAGCACTGTCATAGAGTCAACACTGCTACCCATAGACTCAGCACTGCTACCCATAGACTCAGCACTGTCACCCATATACTCAGCACCGCTACCCATAGACTTATAGTGTAGTGTATAGTGTGTAGACTCAGCACTGCTACCCATAGACTCAGCACTGCTACCCATAGACTCAGCACTGCTACCCATAGACTCAGCACTGTCACCCATAGACTCAGCACTGGCATAGACTCAACACCCCTACCCATAGACTCAGCACTGCCATAGACTCAACACTGTCATCCATAGACTCAGCACCGCTACCCATAGACTCAACACTGCTACCCATAGACTCAACACCGCTACCCATAGACTCAGCACTGTCACCCATATACTCAGCACTGCCATAGACTCAGCACCGCTACCCATAGACTCAGCACTGCTACCCATAGACTCAGCACTGCTACACATAGACTCAGCACTGCCATAGACTCAGCACCGCTACCCATAGACTCAGCACTGCCATAGACTCAGCACTGCTACCCATAGACTCAGCACTGCTACCCATAGACTCAGCACTGCTACACATAGACTCAGCACTGCCATAGACTCAGCACCGCTACCCATAGACTCAGCACTGCCATAGACTCAGCACTGCTACCCATAGACTCAGCACTGCTACCCATAGACTCAGCACTGCCACCCATAGACTCAACACTGCCACCCATAGACTCAACACTGTCACCCATAGACTCAGCACCGCTACTCATAGACTCAGCACTGTCACCCATAGACTCAACACTGCTACCCATAGACTCAACACTGCTACCCATAGACTCAACACTGCTACCCATAGACTCGGCACTGTCACCCATAGACTCAACACTGCCACCCATAGACTCAGCACTGTCACCCATAGACTCGACACTGCTACCCATAGACTCAACACTGCCCATAGACTCAACACTGCTACCCATAGACTCAGCACTGTCACCCATAAACTCAACACTGCTACCAATAAACTCAGCACTGCTACCCACAGACTCAACACTGCTACCCATAGACTCAACACTGCTACCCATAGACTCAACACTGCCATAGACTCAACACTGCTACCCATAGACTCAACACTGCTACCCATAGACTCAGCACTGCTACCCATAGACTCAGCACTGCTACCCATAGACTCAGCACTGTCATAGACTCAACACTGCTACCCATAGACTCAGCACTGCTACCCATAGACTCAGCACTGTCATAGACTCAACACTGCTACCCATAGACACAGCACTGCTACCCATAGACTCAGCACTGTCACCCATATACTCAGCACCGCTACCCATAGACTTATAGTGTAGTGTATAGTGTGTAGACTCAGCACTGCTACCCATAGACTCAGCACTGCTACCCATAGACTCAGCACTGCTACCCATAGACTCAGCACTGCTACCCATAGACTCAGCACCGCTACCCATAGACTCAGCACTGTCACCCATAGACTCAGCACTGGCATAGACTCAACACCCGTACCCATAGACTCAGCACTGCCATAGACTCAACACTGTCATCCATAGACTCAGCACCGCTACCCATAGACTCAACACTGCTACCCATAGACTCAACACCGCTACCCATAGACTCAGCACTGTCACCCATATAGTCAGCACTGCCATAGACTCAACACTGCTACCCATAGACTCAGCACTGCTACCCATAGACTCAGCACTACCCATAGACTCAGCACTACCCATAGACTCAGCACTGCTACTCATAGACTCAACACTGCTACCCATAGACTCAGCACTGCTACCCATAGACTCAGCACTGCCACCCAAAGACTCAGCACTGCCACCCATAGACTCACCACTGCACCATAGACTCAGCACTGTCACCCATAAACTCAACACTGCTAACCATAGACTCAACACTGCTACCCATAGACTCAACACTGCTACTGATATACTCAACACTGCTACCCATAGACTCAACACTGCTACCCATAGACTCAACACTGCTACCCATAGACTCAACACCGCTCCCATAGTCTCAGCACTGTCACCCATAGACTCAACACCGCTCCCCATAGACTCAACACTGCCACCCATGGACTCAGCACTGCTCCCCATAGACTCAGCAATGCTACCCATAGACTCAGCACTGCCACCCACAGACTCAGCACTGCTACCCATAGACTCAACACCGCTCCCCATAGACTCAGCACTGCCACCCAAAGACTCAGCACTGCCACCCATAGACTCAGCACTACCACCCATAGTCTCAGCACTGTCACCCATAGACTCAACACCGCTCCCCATAGACTCAACACTGCCACCCATAGACTCAGCACTGCTCCCCATAGACTCAGCACTGCTACCCATAGACTCAGCACTGTCACCCATAGACTCAACACTGTCACCCATAGACTCAACACTGCTACCCATAGACTCAGCACTGCTACCCATAGACTCAGCACTGCCATAGACTCAACACTGCTACCAATAGACTCAACACTGCTACCCATAGACTCAACACAGCTACCAATAGACTCAACACTGCTACCAATAGACTCAACACTGCTACCAATAGACTCAGCACTGCCATAGACTCAACACTGCTACCCATAGACTCAACACCGCTCCCCATAGACTCAGCACTGCCACCCAAAGACTCAGCACTGCCACCCATAGACTCAGCACTGTCACCCATAGACTCAGCACTGCCACCCATAGACTCAGCACTGTCACCCATAGACTCAGCACTGCCACCCATAGACTCAGCACTGTCACCCATAGACTCAGCACTGCTACCCATAGACTCTGCACTGTCACCCATAGACTCAACACTGTCACCCATAGACTCAACACTGCTACCCATAGACTCAGCACTGCTACCCATAGACTCAGCACTGCCATAGACTCAACACTGCTACCAATAGACTCAACACTGCTACCCATAGACTCAACACAGCTACCAATAGACTCAACACTGCTACCAATAGACTCAACACTGCTACCAATAGACTCAGCACTGCCATAGACTCAACACTGCTACCCATAGACTCAACACTGCTACCAATAGACTCAACACTGCTACCAATAGACTCAACACTGCTAACCATAGACTCAGCACTGCCATATACTCAACACTGCCATAGACTCATCACTGCTACCCATAGACTCAACACTGCTACCAATAGACTCAACACCTGCTACCCATAGACTCAACACCGCTACCCATAGACTCAACACCGCTACCCATAGACTCAACACTGTCACCCATAGACTCAACACTGCTACCCATAGACTCAACACTGCTACCCATAGACTCAACACTGCTACCCATAGACTCAACATTGCTACCCATAGACTCAGCACTGCCATAGACTCAACACTGCTACCAATAGACTCAACACTGCTACCCATATACTCAACACTGCTACCCATAGACTCAACACTGCTACCCATAGACTCAGCACTGCCACCCATAGACTCAACACTGCTACACATAGACTCAACACTGCCACCCATAGACTCAGCACTGATACCCATATACTCAACACTGCCACCCATAGACTCAGCACTGTCACCCATAGACTCAACACTGCTACCCATAGACTCAACACTGCTACCCATAGACTCAGCACTGTCACCCATAGACTCAGCATTGCTACCCATAGACTCAGCACTGCCACCCATAGACTCATCAGGCTACCCATAGACTCATCAGCGCACTAAATGCGTACACCACCACCACCACCAGCACCGCAGCTAACTAATCGTGTGGTGGGGTAAATTGTGGGTGACCCCCCCCTCCTTTCCGCGTTCCTTTATTTTGATCGTCACAATAATTCCACCACGTGCAGCGATGGGAAGTTTCGTCCAAAGTTTGCGATCCAGGCTGGGCGCCATGGTGGCTAGGAGATGTTAACTACCTCGCCTGGTATACAGGAGGTCGTGGGTTCGATCACGACCCTGACGCCTGCTGTATATTGGAGTTTGCATCTCTTCCCCATCATCACCACGGTGGCTATGAGATGTTGACTACCTCGCTTGGTATACAGGAGGTCGTGGGTTCGATCACGACCCTGACGCCTGCTGTATATTTGGAGTTTGCGTGTCTCTCTCATCATCAGGGTGGCTGTGAGATGTTGACTACCTCGCCTGGTATACAGGAGGTCGTGGGTTCGACCACGACCCTGACGCCTGCTGCTGTATATTTGGAGTTTGCGTGTCTCTCTCTCTCTCATCATCACGGTGGCTATGCTATGTTAACTACCTCGCCTGGTCTACAGGAGGCCGTGGGTTCGATCACGACCCTGACGCCTACTGTATATTTGGAGTCTGCGTGTCTCTCTCTCTCATCATCATCACGGTGGCTATGAGATGTTAACTACTTCGCCTGGTATACAGGAGGTCGTGGGTTCGATCACGACCCTGATATCTGCTGTATATTTGGAGTTTTCGTGTCTCTCTCTCTCTCATCATCATCAGGGTGGCTATGACATGTTAACTACCTCGCCTGGTATACAGGAGGTCGTGGGTTCGATCACGACCCTGACGCCTGCTGTATTGCTGTATATTTGGAGTTTTCGTGTCTCTCTCTCTCTCTCATCATCATCAGGGTGGCTATGAGATGTTGACTACCTCGCCTGGTATACAGGAGGTCGTGGGTTCGATCACGACCCTGACGCCTGCTGTATATTTGGAGTTTTCGTGTCTCTCTCTCTCTCTCATCATCATCAGGGTGGCTATGAGATGTTAACTACCTCGCCTGGTGTACAGGAGGTCGTGGGTTCGATCACGACCCTGACTGCTGTTGTGTTCTGGAGTAGGATTCTTGTTGGCCCTACGACACTTCTATATCGATCAACCATAGTTGATCAACAACGCCGCCTGGTCTCGACTCGCACCGCCGCTCTCTATTGAGAATGAGATTGTGGGCGGGAACGGAATTCGACGATGTGCATTTGATTATTTTACAATGAAAAAAAAAATCTCGAAAAATGTATCTTCCGTGTTAATTTATGGGGGTGGGGGGGTAGATTTACACGACTCTGCTACATCTGTGATTAAACACTGTTGCCTATATTTGCTTTGTAAATATATATTAATTGGTTACATGTTTTATCATACAAACAAAAAGGAGATGGTCAAATATTATTTCGTAGGCCCTTTTAGTTTGTGTAGAGCCCTAAGTATAGTGCCTACTGTTGCCTGTTGGACAATATCGCCCAGTGGGTGGGTGAGTGAGTGGCTGGGTGAGTGAGTGGGTGGGTGAGTGGGTGGGTGGGTGAGTGAGTGAGTGAGTGGCTGGCTGGGTGAGTGAGTGACTGGCTGAGTAAGTGGGAGGATGAGTGAGTGAATGGCTGGCTGGATGAGTGGGTGGGTGAGTGAGTGGCTGGGTGAGTGAGTGGGTGGGTGGGTGAGTGGGTGGGTGAGTGAGTGAGTGGGTGAGTGGGTGGGTGAGTGATTGAGTGGCTGGCTGGGTGAGTGAGTGACTGGCTGAGTGAGAGGGAGGTTGAGTGAGTGAATGGCTAGCTGGAGGAGTGGGTGGGTGAGTGAGTGAGTGAGTGGCTGGCTGAGTGACTGGGTGAGTGACTGGCTGAGTAAGTGGGAGGATGAGTGAGTGAATGGCTGGCTGGATGAGTGGCTGGTTGAGTGGCTGGGTGAGTGGCTGGCTGAGTGACTGGGTGAGTGAGAGAGAGAATGAGTGAGTGAGTGAATGGCTGGCTGGGTGATTGTGTGGGTGAGTGATTGGCTTACTGGGTGAGTGAGTGGCTGGCTGAGTGAGTGACTGGGTGAGTGGCTGGCTGAGTGAGTGACTGACTGGGTGAGTGGGAAGATGAGTGAGTGAGTGGCTGGGTGAGTGGTTGGATGAGTGAGTGGCTGGCTGGGTGAGTGGCTGGCTGGCTGACTGAGTGGCTGGATGAGTGGCTGGGTGAGTGAGTGGTTATTTGGATGAGTGGCTGTTTGAGTGGGTGGATGAGTGAGTGAATGGCTGGTCGGGTGAGTGGCTGGCTGAGTGAGTGGTTGACTGACTGAGTGGCTGAGTGAGTGGATGAGTTAGTGAGTGAGTGAGTGGCTGGCTGTATGAGTGCGTGGTTGACTGAGTGAGTGGCTGTCTGAGTGGCTGGATGAGTGACTGGCTGGCTGAGTGAGTGGCTGGCTGAGTGAGTGGCTGGCTGGCTGAGTGCGTGGTTGACTGACTGAGTGGGTGAGTGAGTGGGTGAGTGAGTGAGTGGCTGGCTGGCTGAGTGAGTGGCTGGCTGGCTGAGTGAGTGGCTGGCTGGCTGAGTGAGTGAGTGGCTGGATGAGTGAGTGAGTGGCTGGCTGAGTGAGTGGCTGAGTGCGTGGTTGACTGACTCAGTGGCTGAGTGAGTGGCTGAGTGAGTGAGTGAGTGAATGGTTGACTGACTGAGTGGGTGAGTGAGTGAGCGTCTGGATGAGTGAGTGGCTGGCTGAGTGGTTGACTGAGTGAGTGGTTGACTGACTGAGTGGGTGGGTGAGTGAGTGGGTGAGTGAGTGAGTGGGTGAGTGAGTGAGTAGGTGAGTGACTGAGTGGGTGAGTGAGTGAGTGCGTGGTTGACTGACTGAGTGGGTGAGTGAGTAGGCTCTAGGCACAGTGCCTACTGTGGCCAATTGGATAATATGGCCACTGCGCCTGCTGCATATTCGGGGTTTGCGGTCTCTCTCTCTCTCTCTCCCCTCGTGGTCGCGTGGGTTTGTGCTCTGGGGAGGCGAGGGAGGGCAGGGAGGGGCTGATCGATGCGCCCCAGGGGGTGGTGGTGGTGGTGGTGGTGGCGTCTTCTCCGCACGAAGCGGTCAGCCGTGCTGTGTATGGCGATGGCCCTGTGGTTGCGGAGGGAGGGAGGGAGGAGAGATGTCGGCCTGCATGTAGATCAGTCGATAGAATTCCGGGAGCCACTTTAATTTATTCCGAGGTTTCCGTTTAAACGACCACAGCGCCACACATCCAGCCACCATCACCCAACATCCCCCAGGCATACATCACCCAGCCACACATCCACAACCATCACCCCACCATCACCCAGCCACCATCACCCACCATCCCCCAGGCATACATCACCCACCACCATTACCACCCAGCCACCCACACCACCACCATCACCCAGCCACCATCACCAACCATCCCCCAGGCATACATCACCCACCACCATCACCACCCAGCCACCCACACCACCACCATCACCCAGCCACCATCACCCACCATCCCCCAGGCATACATCACCCACCACCATCACCCAGCCACCCACACCACCACCATCACCCAGCCACCATCACCAACCATCCACCAGGCATACATCACCCACCACCATCACCCAACATCCCCCAGGCATACATCACCCACCACCATCACCCAACATCCCCCAGGCATACATCACCCACCACCATCACCCAGCCACCCACACCACCACCATCACCCAGCCACCATCACCCAACATCCCCCAGGCATACATCACCCACCACCATCAC